GATAAATTTGAATCAATGATGGATTCACATATTGAAATGATTAATGACCAAAAAGATAGTTTGAAAAAAAATATTCAAACACGTTATGAAACATTTGCTAATGAATGTGAAAAAGTTAAATTACGTTGGCAACAATTTCGACCACGAGAACAAGATATGGAAGATGAAAAAAAATGTCGAGAATCATTAAAACTTGTTCGTGATAAAGAAAAAGAAATTCAAGATTTAATGAAACAAAAAGAAAAAATTATGTAAGCATTAAAAACGACAGATTTACAGTAGGGTCCGGCGGGACCGGGTTCGAGACCGTCCCGTCGGACTCTAATTTAGAGGCCAAGATTTTTTGGACTTGAATTATCACGCTACATAGATCCTGTAGAATCTTGATGCTGAGGATCTTATAAAAATCAAAAATTTAATCAAACTCTGATTTTCACAGTAAAGCAAGGGGGAACAAACTGATTTCTTGATTTCTTGATTTCTAGTATGGAAATCAGTTTGTTCCCCCTTGCAGTAAAGCCCATCGGAGAAGAATAATAGGAACTTTTCGCAATTTTCGTAAGAAGAAAAAAAATTATTTAATTTAATTTTAGTGAAGAATTTAAATTATTTGGTATGACTGAACCATCATTTCAAGATTTAGATGAAGTTAGTAATGATATAGCACAAATAAAAAATGTTTGGGGAGTTTATGAAGAATATCAACAAGAATTAAATGAATTAACAAAAGAAGATTGGATTACATTTCGAAGTAAAACTTATCGTTTTGATGAATTTCTTTCTAATTGGCAAGAAAAATTAAAACAAATTTCACCAGTAGCTGATACAGGAAAAGCATCGAAAAAAACGTCAACAACGAATATGAATGTTCGTATACAACAAGAAATTGATAATTATCGTTTAATAACACCTCTATTGAAATGGGTTCGTGGTGAAGCATTATCACCTGATCATTGGTTAGAATTATTTCGAATACTTAAAATGCCACGTGGAACTATGTTAGAAAAATTAACATTCGGTGATATATTAAAAGCTAGACCAGAAATTGCAAGTAATGCTGAACAATTGAAAGATTTAAATGTTCGTGCACAATCTGAACATACAATTCGAGAAGCTTTGAAAGAATTAGAAAATTGGGGTGCTAGTGCACAATTTTCTTTAACGGATTATGTTGATACAAAACAACAAAAAATTCAAATTATTAAAGATTGGAAAGATTTATTTACACAAATTGGTGATAATCAAAGTCTTCTATCATCATTAAAAGATTCACCATATTACAAAAACTTTGGTATGATTTCTTTTATGTAACACTTTAAAAAAAATTATATATTATTAAAATTTTGTAGAGAGTCAAGCACAAATATGGGAACAACGATTAGGTATTCTTGATGAATGTTTACATACTCTCAATCAAATTCAACGTAAATTTGTCTATCTCGAACCAATCTTTGGCCGAGGTAAATCAAGAAAAAAACAAGAGACGAATTTCAATTAAAATGTTTTCGTTATTTTCATAGGTGCTCTACCGAAAGAACAAAGTCGATTTCGTGAAGTTGACAAAGAATTTCGTGAAATCATGTCAGAAATAGCTTCGAAACCTCGTTTAGTTGTTCTTGCACAACGAAAAGATCTATCAAATCTATTAAAATCTATGCTTGATCAATTAGGTCGTTGTCAAAAAGCATTAAACGAACTTCTTGAAGTAAAATCAATAATTATTCTTATTCTATTATCTTCTTTTTTTGTCTTTTCATTTAGGAAAAACGTTCAATTTTTCCACGCTTTTATTTTATTGGCGATGATGATCTATTAGAAATTCTTGGTCAAGCAACTAATCCAACAGTTATTCAATCACATTTAAAGAAACTTTTTGCCGGTATTCATTCAGTACGTTTTGATGAAGCAAATCAACATATTCTCGGAATGCGTTCATTAGATGGTGAACTTGTTCCATTAATAAAAAAAATTCGTATAACAACATCTGTTGAAGAATGGCTTAAACAATTAGCTAAAGAAATGGTTACGACATTACAAAATTTATTACTTAATGCTTTACAAGATTCAAAAAAACAAATAGGTCAAGTACCTGTTGAAAAATATCCATCACAAGTAAATTACATCTAACAAAATCATGTTCTTGTTCATTTGTTTGTTTATTTAGATTTCATGTTTAGCTGAATCGATTAATTTTACTGAACGATGTGAAGAAGCAATTAAAAATGGACAATTAGATAAATTTCATACAGATATTCAACAAGTATTAGAAAAATATACTAATGTACATATTGATA